ACCTTCATGACAACATCACATTGACTTGATTAATGTAGGTTTACAGTACTTGAAATCAGGTAATTTACAATAACTTCTTCAGCTTTGTTCTTTTTCAGGATTGTTTTGGCTATCCAAATTTCCACATACGTTTTAGAATCAACTTGTCAAATTCTTCAAACATTCGTATGAGATTCACATTAGATTACATTGAATCCATAATTCAATTTAAGAAAAAAACCGGTTCATATGTATTTTAACAATATTGAATCTTCCAATCCAAATCCAAGAATATAAAATTTCTCTACACTTATTTAGGTCTTCTTCAATTTTCCTCAGTAATATGTTGTAATTTTCATTATATAGAGCTTACATATTTTTTTGTTAAATTTGTCCTAAATATTTCACTTTTTTTGTGCAACTGTAAGAGGCATTGTTTTCTGATTTCAATTTCCAATTTTTTATTACTAGTATATCAAACATAGTTGCTTTTAAATTGACCTTGTATTCTGCAAACTTGTTTTTTTTGTAAATTCCACAAATACATTTTCTACAAAGATTATCATGTCATCTAAGAATAGGGCAGTGCCTGTGGCTCAGTGAGTAGGGTGCTGGCCCCATATACCAAGGGGAGCGGGTTTGAACCAGGCACTGGCTAAACTGCAACAAAAAAATAGCCAGGCATTATGGCGGGCTCCTGTAGTCCCAGCTACTCCGGAGGAGGCTGAGGCAAGAGAATCGCCTAAGCCCAAGAGCTGGAGGTTGCTGTGAGCTGTGACGCCACGGTACTCTACCAAGGGCGATAAAGTGAGACTCTGTCTCTAAAAAAAAATAAATAAAAATAAGAATAAAGAGGTTTACTTCTTCCTCTTTAATCTATGTTTTCTTTCTTTTCTTGCTGTATTACACTAACTAAAATCTACAGTATTATGCTGAATAGAAGTGATGAAAGCAGACATCCTTTCCTTGTCCTCAATCTTAGGAGGAAAGTATTAATCTTTCACCTTGAAGTCTGCTGAGATTGTACAGGTAGGACTGCTCGAGGCTAGGAGTTTGAGACCAGACTGCACAAAGTAGCAAGACCTTGTCTTTACAAAAAATAAGAAAATTTAGCTGGGCACAATGCATGTGCTTGTAGTTCCAGCTACTGGAGAGTCTGAGGAAAGGATTGCTTGAGCCCAGGAATTTGAGGCTTCAATAACCTCAGATCATGCCACTCCATTCCAGCGTAGGTGACAAGAGCAAGACCTCATCTCTTAAAAAAATTAATTTCTCTTGATTTCTTCTCTGACTTACATGTATTTAGAAGTCTGTTTAATTTCCATGTATTTGAGGACTTTTCAGTTTTCTTTTTCATTTCTAGGTCAATTCCATTGTAATCCGAGAGCAGACAATATAGTATTTCCATTCTTTTAAATTTAAGTTGTGTTTTATGGCCGCAAATGTGGTCCATGCTGGTAAATGTTCCTCGGGAACATCTTTAAAGAATGTGTAATTAACACATTCTTTAACATTCATCCACTGTTGTTGGATGAGGTTGTCTAAAGATGTTGATTACATATCCAGGTGACTGATAGTGATATTGGATCTGCCCATTTCTGATAAAGGGGTATTAAAATCTCCAACTATAATAATGGATTCATCTACTCTTTGTAATTTTTGCCTCATTTATTTTGATGTTCTGTTGTTAGGCAAATACACATTAAGAATTGTGTGTCTTCTTGGAGAATTAACCCCTTTATTATTATATTATGCCCTTATTTATCACTGATAACTTTCCTTACTTTGAAGTCTGTTGTCTGAAATAAACATATCGTCTCCTATTTTCTTTTCTTTTTTTTTTTTTTTTTTTTTGCAGTTTTTGGCTGGGGCTGGGTTTGAACCCGCCACCTCTGGCATATGGGGCCAGCACCTTACTGGCTGAGCCATAGGTGCTGCCCCTCCTATTTTGATTAGTGTTAGCATAGTATATCTTTGTCCATTTGTCTCAGTCCATTTGTGCTGTTATAACAAAATACTATAGGGTGGCGCCTGTGGCTCAGTGAGTAGGGCACCAGCCCCATATACTGAGGGTGAAGGGTTCAAATCTGGCCCCGGCCAACTGCAACCAAAAAAATAAAAGCCGGGTGTTGTGGTGGGCACCTGTAGTCCCGGCTACTCAGGAGGCTAAGACAAGAGAATCACCTAAGCCCAAGAGCTGGAGGTTGCTGTGAGCTGTGACGCCATGGGCGTCTACCGAGGGCGACAAAAACTCTGCCTCTAAAAAATAAAAAATAATAACAAAATACCATAGGTAATTTATAAAGAACAGAAACTTGTTTACTCATAGTTTGTGGGCTGGGAAGTCCAAGATCAAGACACCAATGGGTTCAATTTTTGATGAGGGTCCCAATTTCTTCCAAGATGGTGGGTGGTGCCTTGACCACTGTGTCTTCAGAAGAAGGAAGGAATGGAAGGGCAAAGGGGACAAATATCTTTTATAAGGTAACTAAGCTCATTCATAAGAACTTTGCCCCCATGACTTAATTACCTCATAATCCCAGCTCTTAATACTATCACGTTGGCAATTAAGTTTTAACATATGAATTTTGGGGAATACCTTCAGACCCACACCACCATCCATTTATTTTTAATCTCTATGTTTCTTTGTATTTAAAATGCATTCTTGCAGACAATATGGTGTTGGGGCTTGTTTTTTGATCCACTCTGACAATCTCTGGTTATTTGGCACATTTAGACTATTGACATTCTAAGTGATACTGATAGAGTAAAAATTAGTATCTACCATATTTGTTATTGTTTTGTCTGATTTCCTTGATCTGTGATCTATTTTTGAGTTCCCTTTTTCTGCCCTTTGTGATTTTAACTGAGGATTTTATGTGATACCATATTCTCTCCTATCTTAGACTATCAGTTAAACTTTTAAAAATTACTTTTTTAGTGGTTTTCCTACAGTTTGCAATATATATTTACAGCAAATCTAATACACCCTTCTGGATCTTTCCTTTTTTGTTTGTTTTGTTTCTTCAGACAGAGTCATCACCCCAGCTAGAGTGCAAAAGTGCTGTCATAGCTTACTGAAACTTCAAACAATTGGGCTCAAGCAATCCTCCTGCCTCAGCCTCCTAAACAGCTGGTACAAAAGGCACGTGCCACCACACTGGGCTAACTTTTCTATTTTTTTGTGAGCTTCTCACTCCTCTCAAACTCCTAACCTCATGCAATCCTCCCACCTTGGCCTTCTTAAATGCTAGGATTATAGGCATGAGCCACCAGGCTGTCCTTGTATCTTTATTTAGCTATAAAATGAAATAGATCATCCCTCACAGGTTGTTAGGAGGTTTGGATAAATGATATACCTGTCTGTACTCTCTACTGTGCCACCCAAATTACTTATTTCAAGGGGCCCTTTAGGTCCTTTCCATCTGTGACCTATTAAAATTTGATCTCAGGCTCGGTGCCTGTGGCTCAAGTGGCTAAAGCACCAGCCACATACACCTAAGGTGGCAGGTTCGAATCTAGCCTGGGCCCACCAAACAACAATGACGGCTGCAACCAAAAAATAGCCAGGCATTGTGGCGGGCACCTATGGTCCCAGCTACTTGGGAGGCTTAGGCAGGAGACTCGCGTAAGCCCAGGAGTTGGAGGTTGCTGTGAGCTGTGATACCACAGCACTCTACCCAGGGGAACAGCTTGAGGCTATGCCTCAAAAAAATAAAAATAAAATAAATAAATAAAATTTGATCTCAGAAATAAACCTCCAGACCTTAAGGTAAATATAACTGATGATAATGAAAGGGTTAATCCTAGGCCTTCTGCGGTGGCTCACACCTGTAACCCCAGCACTCCAGGATGTGGGTAGACTGCCTGACCTCACTGGTACGAGACCAGCCTGAGCCAGAATGAGACCCCATCTCCAAAAAATAGCCAGAAGTTGTGGTGGGCACCTTTAGTCCTAGTTACTCAGGAAGCTGTGGCAGGAGGATCTCTTGAGCCCAAGAGTTTTGAGTTTGCTGTTAGCTATGATGTTACAGAACTCTACAGAGGACAACAAAGAGAGACTGTCTCAAAAAAAAAAAAAAAAAAGTGGGGGGTCATCCCCTAGGTGAACGAACGTTTATCAAGTTGGGAGACGAAATCCAGTTAGGACGGAGCAGGCAACCACCAAGGAATAGAATTGTTTTGTCTCGCCTAAAGTGTTTGGGGGAAAAGAAATTAGGTTAGATGTTAATGTTTAAAAATCAGGATATTTCATACTGACTTTTAGATTTAAAACTTCTAATTCTGACAGGACCACTATCAAGTGGAGTGAGTACATGGCTACCCCTTTCAAAGAACACAGGGGCAGGGCTGGGCGGATAAGCGGCCAGGCATTTAAAGCATCGGGTAGCGCCTGTGGCTCAAAGGCAGGGCTCTGGCCCCTATATGCCAGAGGTGGTGGGTTCAAGCCCAGCCCCGGCCAAAAACTGCAAAAAAACCCCACTCTGCATCAACTGGGGTGCCGTAAATGAGACTAACTTCTTAATTCATCTTGTAGCAAATTGAGGCTGAGGGCATTTACAGACACCTAGGATAGATGTGCCTAGAATAGGTGTCTCGCCCTCTGCTCTCAGCACTGGGGGACCTGAGGACTCAAGAGTCAGGAGCTGAGACACTGGCCTGAATCTGCTTCACTGGGAACGCACGTGGTTGGAGCCTGCTTCTTCCTCCAGGGCACCGCTCCAGGGCAGAGCAGGGTCCAGCGGCGGCGCCTCCGAGGCGCGGGACGTCCTCCTCGCCCAGTGTCCGCGGCGACCAGGAGCGAACCCGCCAGGGGGCAGCGCGGGCTAGTGCTGGGTGTACGCAGCGGGAAAGCCGGGGGCGACCGGGGGAGCCGGGAGAGAGGTCGCTATTTCCCGGCCGGCCGAGTTCACCGTGGCGGCCACACCCCCTCACCGCGGCCAATCAGCGCCCGCCGCGCCCCCGCCGCGCCCCCGCTGCGCCCCCGCCCGCCTAGTTCTGCCGCGCTCCGCGGTGCACTCGGGCCCGGACGCGAGCGGACGGCGCGGGCATGGTGCGCGGCAGGGTCTCCCGGCTCTCGGTCCGCGATGTGCGCTTTCCCACGTCGCTCGGGGGCCACGGCTCGGACGCCATGGTAAGCGCCGACCGAAGACCCGGGCCCGCTTAGGCGGGCAGGGGAGTAGCGGGGGGTGCCCCGCGGGTCCCGGGGAAGTTTCCAACTTTGGAAATCGTGTTTCTGTGAAGTGGGAGGCGGGCATGGGGGAAGATAGACAGTATAAGTATCCAGAAACTGTCTATCCTCCTGGGTTTTCTTCTTTTCTGTACTTTTAAAATCTCTTTCCCAGTGTTTACAACGTCCTGGTTTTACATGTATGATTCACATTTTGCTGGAAATTGCGGAATACATAATATGCAACAACAGCAAAATGGTTTGGTTGGGTCTCCACCAATGAAACCCTAAAAGACAGAGCTGGCTGCTTCTGTACCGAGGACTTGAAGGGATTTGTGGTGATGGAGGCCAAAAGGCCCGAGGCTGGGCGTTTTGAGTGGTGGTACAACTTGCTGAGTGACTTAGAGACGACTCAAACCTCTCTGGGGCCCATGGACCCATTTACGAAATGAAGGTGTCACAGGCTGATAACACCAAGCACATGATAACTCTGGGTCACTGAGAGGACACCCTCATGAAGCTGCCTGCAAACATGGAAAGGATTTGTCACTGTAAGGAGTTATGCAAATGTCAGTCTTAAGTGATGTGATAAAGTAACTTTGACTCCAGGACTTTGACTCCTACGGAATTGAAGAGCTTTTTTCCCTTACTGAGAATTGTTGGAAAGACCCTCTGTGGCCTCCCTCCTACCCCTACGTCCAGTGCAGTAGTTCCCAAAGATAATAGGAGACTTACTTTCAGGGTCTTCAGGGGGCCCCACTGGCCCCTCTGTGATGACCACAGTAGAAAGACAGTTATATAGTAAGGAGTGAGAAACATCAAATGCGAGGAAAATGATCCTGTAAGGAGGAGGGGGAGTGGGGTCAGGGAGGGCTCCCCAAGGACTTTAGTTCACACTGTAATATTTTACTTTGTAAACTGAGTGGATGGATAACAAGCTGGTGTCCATTACATTATCTGTACTCTTTGTGGACCCAAAATGTTTCATAAAGGCTTCTCATTAAAATGTGCTAAACAGAGGGCAGGTGCAATGGCTCACACCTGTGATCCTAGCTCTCTGGGAAGCCGAGGTGAGTGGATCATTTGAGCTCAGGAGTTTGAGACCAGCCTGAGCAAGAGTGAGACTAAAAATAGGGAACAAAAGTCAGATGTAGTGGTGCACACCTGTAGTTCCTGTGACTTGGGAGGCTGAGGCAAGAGGATCATTTGAGCCCAAGAGTTAGAGGTTCCTGTGAGCTAGACAAATTCCATGGCACTCAAGCCTGGACAATGGAGTGAGACTCTGTCTCAAAATAAATAAATAAATAAATAAATGAATAGAAAAAATGTTCTAGGTAAGCAAAATTCTTAAATGTAGAAGAAATGCATCTTTTTTTCTAAGATTAAGTTCTTCCTGCTTTTTAAAATCCTTTTGTGTCCTCTCTTATACAATATTATGGTAAATGACTTAAAAATACCTAGTGGGCTATCCTTCCTGGAATTCCAAATGTTTGAAATTTTACTGACTTGTAAATTCTAAACACTTGATCAAGTGCAACTGCCCGTGCCCCTCTGAGCCACACAATCTCTCCAAACCTAGGATTTCCCTCCGTAAAATGAGTATAATAATCTTCATACATGTAAGTGAGTTGCCTAAAAAGAGCCTGAGACAGAGAAGGCCCTCAATAAGAATTGTCTATATTTACTATTTACATATGAGGAAATTGAAACAGAAGGAACTCTAACTTAGACTTGACTTGGAATTTGTGAAGTGATAGGATAGCCTGGGTGACTGTAGAATAATTTAAGAAATTAAATTTGTCCATGGGCCTCTCCATTGGATGAAGGAAGATTATCTGTCACCTGTACTGCAAGCTCAAAAACACTTAAGCATTTGTCTTCGGGAGATAGATAGATCTGTCTTGCTAGAATGTGCTACTTTGTAGTTCTGAGGTGGTGGCTTCATGCACCCTCACAGCATGCTGGACTGTGTTCAACACTTAGCAGCAAAGTGAGCCTCCCTATGAGAAGTGGGATATTTTCATAACAGAGCCCTGAAACTGTCCTCAAAGTCTCCTAAAGGTTCCTGCTATTTCTTCCTCTTGTTAGAAATGTGGAGCGCTCAGGCCCGTGGGTATTTACAAGCTGCTCACTTGTCCAGGCACGGAGCAAGCTTCCAGAGAGCTGCAGGACCATGAGCTCACAGCCCAGTGCCATCTGACCCCGGCCACCTCCCAGCAATGCTTTTCCTCTTTCCTCATTGTCTCTGAGCTCCCTGAAGTGGCTTTTTGACACCTCTCTCCTCTCCATCCCCTAGTCCTGCACCCTGAGCAGTTGGAAGATGTCCAAGGCATCACTGAGAAGGCTGAAGACAGATGCACCCTCATCCTCCCCTCTGTTCACTAAGTCACACCCTGCTTCAAGGATAACCTAGTCTGGGTCCTTCTTCCTCCCCTTCTTGACTCCAGAGGCCCCAGTTCTCATCCTCTCCTCCAGCGTTTTCACCAGTCTCTCCTTTTCCCATAGTTTCCTTCCCACACAGACAGGGCTTCCCACTTTGCATTAGTCTGTACTTGTCCCTAAGACCTCTCTAGCTCCCTTCTGTATCTGCCCCTCCTCCCTGAACTCAATGCCTGTTGCTGCCATCCTTTCCATCTGCTTCCTCCTTAACCTGAAGTCAGCTTCCCTTTCCATCCTTCTCTTGGAATTGCCCTTGTTATTTCTGTTTCCAGCCTCCTTCACCCTTGGCTACACTTCTGCTGCCTTTTCTTCCCACCGTCCCAGTGTGGGGCTCCTGCCTTTCTCGCTGCTTCTCTCACACTGAGCCTGGGCCTCCATGTGCTTCTTGTCTCCCGGCATGCTCCCATCAAGGCCCTTCTCCGTGTTCATGGCTGCAAGTGCCCGCCTTTATGTCAGAGACCCCCCAGATCTCGTCTGTAGATCTGCTGTCTCGCCTCAAGTCTGGCTGCCCCAGACCCTTCCTGCTGGATTCCTCACCTTCATGCTAAACCCGGGCGTCTGCGGGAACTCATCATCTTCCATACACTGCCGCTCTCTCCCTCCCGCCCCTTCCAGGATCGTTCTGCCAGTCATAGGGACTTGACAGCTTCAAGTCACTTTGGGCTCATCTCATCCTTTTGACCCTCACAACCTTCAGAAAGGCCACTTTTGCCACCACTTCCTCTCCTTGTAACTTAGAAACTGCCAGTGAGTCTTTAATTTTTGGAGTTTTTTTCTCAGCCTCATTTCAGCTTCAGGAGCTGAAGCTGGGCCAAACCCCGAGGTCACCGGCCCTTAGCACTTGCCAGTCCCCTCTTCTGCCTGCTCTGCTCTGCGCTGCCACCTTGCCTAAGATATTCCCTCCCAGATCCTTTGTGTCCCTTCCCACTGCCACAAAGCTCCCTCCTCTTCGACCCACTAGCTCAGGTGCTATCTTCCGTGAAGCCTCTTCCAGCTTCAAGTGGGTTCAGCCAATAGCATTCTCTGCCTGTCCTTGCTAGTTGCATCTTTCCCAGGGCCCAACACGCTCTGCCTTACATCATTGGAGTTCCTGCACCCATGGCTTCTTAACTGTGACTTCCTCAATGGCAGGCATATCTGTACCCCCTCAGCAGATGGCACTATCTCTGGCGCATAGCTGGCGCTCAGCCATGCCTGACACTGAATTCCCACCACTGTGCTCTGACACAGACACGGATCTCCCATCCATCATGGTCACCTCCCTGTCTGACAACCCCATCCACCCTTAAATGCATGAATTTGAATTCTGCCTCCATAGATATGACCTTGGACAAGTCATTAGACCTCTTAAAATTTCATTTCCTCTTAGCTAGACATTGTGGCAGGTGCCTGCAGTTCCAGCTACAGGCTGAGGCAAGAGAATCACTTAATCCCAAGAGTTTGAGTTTGCTGTGAGCTGTGGTGCTACAGCACTCTACCCAGGGGGACATAGTGAGACTCTGTCTCAAAAAGAAAAAAAAAATTTCCTTATCTCTAAAATAGGAATGAAAGTGCCTTCTTTATAATTTTATCATGAGGATTAAATTAAACCACGTAAACCTCATAGAATAGTATGCATGGCATAATGCAAATTTTATAATAATAGCAACAATGGTAATAATTTTTTTGCCACAGCTTTAGTCAAAATTATTCAGTTGTCACATCCTATTTTCCTTATTAACGTATTCAGATCCTCTGCCTGGATTTCTGGGGCCTCCGTTATCTGCCCCCTCACTACCTGTGCCATGTTGTGGCCTCCTGTGCCTTTTATTTCTCGGTCCCATAAAAGCCCCTGGGTGTCCCATTGCTCTCCCTTTCCTGGATGCATTCATCTGCCTCTTTGCCATCTAGATGGTTTTGTCCCCCAGGAATTCCCTCAAGTTCTATTTCCCTATCTATCTCTCCCCTGGACATCAGCTCTGCGTCTAACCAACCACACTTTGTTTTGCTCACAGCCTGGTACTCTTCTTCTCAGTTGGTTCTGTGAGTTACCCTTTTCTCCCCACTATATGATAAATCTCTGTGGACAGACTTCTTTTTGTTGTTGTTTTTTAAAAACAAAGAACAAACTTTGCATCTGCCAATCAGTAAGTGGCATTGAGTTTCATAACAATTGACTTGTAAACACTTGTTTTCAAAACACTGTTTGATAGTAGAAAGTTAAAATAGCATAGAACAAAGTAATACGGAAGGGTTAATTTGTGTCAGGGCTTTACCTCTTCATTTTTTGCCAGTGGTCCCCTCTGAGCTTGGGCCCTTGTATCTCCAGCTCTGCTGTAAAGTGCTATACGAGAGAGCAATCCAATTTATGGAAGAGCTTTCTGAAACCTTGGTTTGTTCAATGTGAAGCTGCTTGTAAATGTTAACTCTGTTCAAAGCACTGACAGAATACAGGGCTCACGCCTGTAATTCCAGCTCTCTGGGAGGCCGAGGTGGGTGGATTGCTTGAGCTCAGGAATTGGAGACCAGCCTGAGCAAGAGTGAGACCCCGTTTCTGAAAATAGCTGGGTGTTGTGGTGGGCGCCTGTAGTCCCAGCTACTCAGGAGGCTAAGGCAAGAAGATAACTCGAGCCCAAGAGTTTGAGGTTGCTGTGAGCTATGACGCCATGGCACTTTGCTGAGGGTAACATAGTGAGACTGTTTCAAAACAAAACAAAACAAAAACAAAAACAAAGAACTGACAGAGCTGTAAGTAAAAACTCCTGGATTTAAAATTGAGCCTTAAATTTGACCTAATAGTATCTATTGAAATAATTTGCCTACTGCAGGAGGGCGTTCTTTCATTCATAGTTCTTATGGTCTCTGGTGTGCATCAGTGGTTCCATCAGAGGCAGCTGTTTTTGTGCAGTCCTGTGGCATTGTCTGTCCTTAGGACACGTCATTCTCCTTGTTATCTTCTGGGCCTCTCTCCCGCAGCACACAGACCCTGACTACTCAGCTGCCTATGTCATCATAGAGACAGATGCAGAAGATGGACTCAAGGGTTATGGAATTACCTTCACTCTGGGCAAAGGCACCGAAGTTGGTGAGTCAAAGATTCCCTGTGGTTTCAGAATGCTTACTTTTTACTTAGATTTCAATTCTGACCTTTATTTTTCTGTGTCTACACACTGCTCAAAGTGAGTAAAAACAAGTTTTCATGGTTTGTTATTTGTTTTGTTGGGAGAAATTAGAAAGTGGCAGAATTTGGCCTCTCTCCTCATAGTCTGCTATAGCCCTAGTGCTAGAAAATCCTTGGCTCTCAGCCCACTTCTCTGTGTCAGATGATAACTATGGCAACGGTACTCCCCTGCTTTCAGCCCTCAGCTGTTGTAGAGCTTTTACAGCCTGCAGTGGCCGAGTGACCCAGGGTGATGAGGGAGGAGGTGTGAGCTTACATGGCAGGGCTTACTGTGATGTGCAGGTCTACTCACTTTTTAAAGTATTTCACAGCAAATTGGTTTCAACCTCACTTATTTTCATGGCAGAAAAGACCTTTGGTCCTGCCCACGTTCAGACATCTCGTGGGGGAAGAACAGATTTTTTAGGATACATGCTGAGTGAGATATATATATATTTATATATGTAGTTCTTTTTTCTTCTTCCTGTTTTCTTAAACAGAAGACACTGAACATAATATAACCTTTCTCAGAGCTGAGTGTGATCTCAGTGGTGATCTCGAGCCCTCTTGTTTCTTAAAGATAAGGAAACTGAGCCCAGACAGGTACCTAGCAAGTCACAGCAGAACTCCCTGACTGCCCACGTACTTTCTCTTTAGTACTATTTATTTAGTTTGAAGACAGGGAAAGAGAAATTTATTACTTTGCTGACAAAGGAGGAAAATGGCAGATTCTGGTCTCAAAATCTAAATTCCTGCTTGTAAGCAGAAGCACCTAGCTTTTGAAAGGTCTGATCTCATAGCAGAACTTTTAAATGCGCAGCCTTTTGGATATGTAATACACGCACATGGTACAAAATTCAAGAAGTACACAAAGGTGACCTTTGCCAGATCAATTTTAATAAGTCATTGGTGGCTGAGGCCAGATGACGATAGATGGAAGAGTGATGGGCTGGGAAGGAGGGAAACAGGTTTTCTTATTTTGCTGGTGATGGGAGACCTCTCCCACGGATATTTACCCTCTCGCTAGTTGTAGAATAAAAATCTACCCAGCTGAGAGATTTTAATGTTGTCGAGCAGATAAGGAAAACATGAGAGAGAGAGTGTGTGTGTGCGAATAGCAAGGGAGCCTTTCTTGATCTCTCAGTGGATACTGTCAAGGTGGTCAGTGTTCCAGTTGCTCTCAGCGCTGGGAGTGAGTCAACCAACAGGTCACTCCTTCACTGACTTGGCCAGTGCTCCTATGTGTCAGAGCTCTGCCAGCCACCCTGAGAAGTAATTTTAAGAGGTAAAGACAAAAATCCCCTGTATGAGAAGCACACTATCTTAATGCGGAAACAGACGTAAAAGAAATGATCATAGGGAAGTGTGACAATTGCCGTTTTTAAAAAGTGTGTACAAGTTACCCAGAGAGAAGGGATTTCTTCTCTTGGTCCAGGAAGCTCAGGGACAGCTTCAGAGCAGTGGTAATGTCTTGAGCTGAGAGTAAATAGAAATTTGTCAGGCAGATGGAGACCAGGCTGTGATTCAGTCCTTCCTTCCCACATTAAGTCAATAATTTGCTATTAAAGTGTTCCCCAGTGTAGTAACCACTGATCAAGATATATTCATGAGCTATTGTTTCAGGCTATTCTGTGGCTTTAATTGTCCCTTGGTTGTAAGCTGAGTACTTGATGAAGCTGTTGCCTTTCTGCATACTGCAAACTGTACAGCATGGCCCTCCAAGGTGGCATACAACTCAGGGAGCTCACAAAAGATATTCTGGGACAGGCCATTGGAACCACTCTCTGCCATCAGCCCATACTTTGAACTG